GTGTTTATAAAGAAGATAATCCATAGGGAAAATGATAATGCGAGTAATTTTTTGTACTTTCAGAAAAAGACAAGAAATTTATGCTAAAACACTTTTTTAAAGTTGTATTGTGTTTATTTTATGCGTGAACAATAGAGACAGATTGAGCATCTTGTTCTATTTCATTTTTCATTGTTATTATTTGACTATGTGTTTATAAAGAAGATAATCCATAGGGAAAATGATAATGCGAGTAATTTTTTGTACTTTCAGAAAAAGACAAGAAATTTATGCTAAAACACTTTTTTAAAGTTGTATTGTGTTTATTTTATGCGTGAACAATAGAGACAGATTGAGCATCTTGTTCTATTTCATTTTTCATTGTTATTATTTGACTATATAGTCATAGGAGCTGTTCTTGTCAAATGTATAACCCAGGTTCCTGAAGGAAATGGTTCTGGAGTAGTTTGGGATGGCAATGGACACATAGTGACAAATTACCATGGTGAGAACCATCATCAGGCATGTGCTTGACCATATGGTTGTATAATAGGTCTTGAATTATTTAAGTTCGTTTCTATGATTTTGTACTTATTTTTACTCCATATTTGGTAAGTTGAAAGTGTTCATTAGCAGTTATATGTACAATTGTCATTTAAAATATGAAACTAAATTTGAGCATTCAACTTTTATTCATATATTTTCTATTTTGACCATGATTGTATCTTGCCCTAGTGGTTGGCAATGCTCTTTCAAGGAATCCAAGCCCTGGTCAAGTTGTTGCGCGAGTGAATATCCTTGCCTCTGAAGGGTGAACTTCCCACTAGATATAAACAAATTTTTTTTCATGTTTGTAATAGGCTAGTATTTACATGTTAGATAAACCTCCTCTCATGGTGATAATTTATTGAAGGGTACAAAAGAATTTTGAGGCTAAGCTGATTGGTGCAGACCGTTCTAAGGATTTGGCTGTCTTAAAGGTACATGCGTCTTTTGAACACTTTATCTGTACTTAAAAAAACATAATGGATGAAGTGATTCCATCAAGACATTGTCAGCTGAGCATTTCAGATTCCATGTTGAACAGCTGCTGATTTAGTCTTTTTATTTGGTGATGGATGCTATTTCTAATGGTAGCAATGTTAATCAAGTGAGCATCCATAGACTTCTAAGCCATGTAGTTAAATAATAGTCTAAATTTAAAGGAGGTACTGTGAATTTTAGGCTGTTTTTTCAGGAAGTTAACATTCAGTTTTCTTTGTTGATGACCATAAACTTACATCGGGATTTTCTGGAAACTAACTTCCATAACACATACATCTAGAACAAATGTCAGTAATGTTTTAACGATGAAATTTCTAATAGCTAAATAAATCAAAATAAAATTATTTCTAAATTCAAATTGTTTTTTTTTTAAATTTCCATCCTTGTTATATAAAAGATTATAACTGAATGCTTGTCTTATGATGATTATTGAATATATTATTAACACTATTTTCTGTCGTGTAAAATACCTGACCATTGATTATGAAGTTGGGTTTTGGATCCTCTGATATTTTGTGACTTTGTCCATCTCTTTATATATTGTCTAATAGGTGGAAGCTTCTGGAGATCTGTTAAAGCCAATCAAAGTGGGGAAGTCAGCTGTTCTAAGAGTTGGTCAGCAATGCCTAGCAATTGGTAACCCGTTTGGTTTTGACCATACTCTAACAGTTGGTGTTATTAGTGGACTTGATCGGGATATCTTTAGTCAAGCTGGAGTAACCATTGGAGGTGGTATCCAGACAGATGCAGCCATCAATCCAGGGAATAGGTTCGTCTAGGGCTCCAGATACCCTATTCTTTGAGATGTGCATATCCCATTTTTTGAATTCTCTTACTCTTCAGTTAGGGTTATTAGGTAGGTAAGGTAATTAAAAGAAATTAGTCATTAGTCATTCATACATTTAAATTGAACTCTTCTCTTACTCTTCTTTATTATTTTTTCCCACAGAATAGTATATTTTAAATTACTTTTTTCCTGCCACTTTGGCCATAATAAGCTAGTAAAGGAGTTAGATATTTAAATCAATGATGGATAGCAACTTTACATCGTTAGTCCTATAGATATATTACTCTACACTTATATTCCTTGGAAACAATTCATTATATTTAGTTCTTATTATTGTTTTTTGTGGAAGCATTCGCTCAGTCACTGACAACCTTAAAAAGTAATCGCTAATTATTTTCTTGAATTTATGGTGCCTACTATATGAATCATTGTTCATCACTACTACACATGACTAATTGAATCACATTGCTATATCTTTATCGTGTCAGGAGAAATGATGAACCCTATTATGTATGCATCCCGTGTACTCTTCATTGACATGTGGCTTGATTATGGCATTATACCCTAAAATTAAGAACTTCTAACATGTTGGGGGTCACACTGGGGTAGAGTTTTCATTAATATGACCTTTTCCCATATGGGGAGAAATGTCGTTCAACTCACGACCTTCCTGTTATAAAAGATAAAAGCAGTACTAGGATGCAACCCTTATAGGGCGGCATTGTAAGGCAGAATTGTCAGATCAGAGTCATCAATTTTGTAATAATGATACTAGTTACTCCAACTTGTTCTACACATAATTGCTTTGATACATTAGGTGGAAAATGTTGTTGTGAGGGTCCTTTATTATTATTTGTTTGAATGAATAAGGTGGATAATCCAATCCTCTCCCCTATCAGGCAGTGGGTGGATTGAGGGTAAATTGGCAGTGGGTGGATTGAGGGTAAATTCTTCGTGACCTGTGAATACTACAAGTGGGTGCTCTACACGAGCTACAAGTTCCCCTGCTGTCAGAGTTATTATCATCTCCTTAAACTTGTTGTCTTTCTAAGAATATTTGGATGTATTATTCTACTTATTTTTGTTGTGGGACATTTCATTGTAAATATGGAATGCAACACTTGCTTGAAAATTATGGAAGGCCGTTCATAATATTATTTGGACAGTAATCATGTCAGTAACTGTAAAATCTAAAGATGACTGGTCTTGAAGAACAACACATCTCAAGTAAAGTTCAATATTATGCAAAAAATGGTCTGTAATTAAGGAACCAATAACCTAAGTATTACTTTGTGTATACTTATATGATGTAGGAAGCAAAAAGTAACACAATCCAAATACTTACGCTGAATTTGCGTTTGGCAGTGGCGGTCCTTTACTAGATTCCAGAGGAAATATGATTGGCATAAACACAGCAATATTTACACAAACAGGTATAGTTCCTTGTTTATTCGGTAATTGCTTTCTTTCAAAGGTTAGTTTCACACTTTCTTGGCAAATAATTCAATTCCTTATAATTTGTGTTGTTTGCAAAGACCATATGACATCTACCTTTGTTCCCTACTATGTTACCTGTGTACATCTATTTGGAAGCCGTACCCGTACCCGACACATATCCGTACCTAAACTTCTTGGACACTTCTTGGCATACGGTGTTCAAATGTACACTCAATTATATACTACATGTTTTAATTTAAAACACTCCTCATCTACTTCTTGGAGACATATTCTAACATATTTTTCAAATATATTGATCTTATGTAAATGAAAAAACAATATTGGTCTTATGTAAGTTATTAATTTAATAAATATAAATATGCATAACATACTTTTATAGCCGTGACCCCGTACCCTACCTTTTACAAATTTGTTGTGTCCCATAACGCAACTGCACCCCCACCAGTAACCGAACCTGTACCCATGCAACTAAAATAATTTTTGTTTGTTACATTGTTTACTTGATCTTTGAAGAAAATGATTCTTTAGAAGAGCAATTTCCAATTGTACTACTATGTAATATTTCATATTCAACCCTTCTTTTATTGGATGACAATAGCATGATCAGTATTGTTCTTTACTTCCCAAAGATTTACTATGTACCAGGTTGGGACCCATGTCGCAAATGGAACATGTTGAATTTTGAAGAATATGCAACATTTTTAATCCACTTTAAAATACATATTTGACCAATTTATTTTCTAAATTCTGAGGACTATTTTTAGTATTGCAGGGACATCTGCTGGTGTAGGCTTTGCTATTCCATCTTCAACTGTTCTAAAGATAGTTCCTCAGTTGATCCAGTTTGGAAAAGTACGCATATCTTATATATCTTATCCAATGTCTTATTTTTCTTTCTGACTATTATTTTATCTTCCTTTTGGGAGAACATATCACAAAGTCGGAGCTCCTTCCAGCTTTCAAATTAATTTATTTTCAAAACATGAAAGATTTATTAAGCTCCACTTTTACTTCCAGCTGCTTTCACATTTCTTTGCTTGATGTCTATATTTCTGTATCCATTCTTATTCTAAGCATACAGATCTGTGCTTTATTTATTTATTTATTATAAGAACAGTCGGATCTAGTTCGCTATCTTTTTTACTGATTCAAGACCCTGAACATAGCTATCGCCTTTGATTCTCCTCTTTAACCAACCAATCATGAGATTGTTTTTGAAAAATTTATCAATTTATTGCAGGCTGCCTTGAGCATCTTTTATTAGCTGATAATCACAATTAAAAATTAAAACATTCAGCAAGACATCACATTTTAGTGAAAACATCACGTCCAGATGTTAGCAGCATATGCCGAGCTGTTTAAGCACGTCCATTTTTTTTTGTAGCTGTTAATTTATCTGTGTTCTTGTACTTTTCTTTCGGCTATCACTATGTACCTGCACTCACCTGCACCGTAAAAAAAAAAAAAAAAAAAAAAAAAAAGAAAAAGAAAAGAAAGAAAGAAAGTGCTGGCATGGATATACCAATATACATGCTATTGGACCATGAGATCCTTTTAGCCTTATGCTCTATCTGGAGTGAAGTTTGTTCTTATGGGTCAGAAAGTCAGGTTAAAAGGAAAGGACAAATGAAATTGGTTCCATCTTAAAACTCGATGAATTAACACTGGATAGGCATCCATGTTAAAATATAATATTTTATTTCTTTTGTTAAGATTATTCCATTGGAATGCCAACATGCTATATCTGGTATTAACTAAATTAATACTACATTCCTATTGAAGTTATTGTCATGTCCAAAACTCTTATTGCTGTCTTCATCACTCATTTTTTTAAGGCTGTTCGTGCTGGTCTTAATGTGGAGATAGCTCCAGATCTTGTTGCTAATCAACTAAATGTTCGTAATGGAGTTCTTGTGCTACAGGTACAATATTTAGTATTGCTCAACATCTCTTATCAGTTCGGATAATCTGGAGAAAATACAAAGACTTATATTATTGTGCATAAAATAAGTACAAGAGAGGCATATATAGAGGCACAACATACACAACTGAAAAGAAAGAAATACTAGAAATACTATCCAAATTCCGAGAGGAAAACAAACCTCATGTTATTCACGTTGTCCATTTGAAGGTTGCTGGAAACAGTCTTGCAGCGAAAGCTGGTCTACTACCCACAAATAGAGGTTTTGCTGGTAACATAGTTCTTGGGGATGTTATTGTTGCTATTGATGAAAAGCCTGTAAGAGTCTCTTTTTGAACATACTGTTTTCTCTCTCTCACTCATGGATTCTTGCAACCATTAATTACAATGATTTTTGTTTGAGTAGATCAAAAATAAAGCCGAGCTGTTTAAGATTCTTGATGACTACAATATTGGGGATAAAGTTATCCTCAAGATTCAGAGAGGAAGTGAGATTTTGGAGCTTCCTTTGGTTTTGGAGGAAACGAGCTTCTGAGGTATGTATAAGGAGGCAGCATCCAGTTTGCGACACCATCAACTTTCTTTTTCTGCCTGCTTTTGTTATATAATGTAGCATTTCATTCTTTTGTAAAACTGTTATTTTCATCGAAAAATATAAGATGTGTCTTGTGGAGTTTCGAGTTCCTCATGTTATATATTTCTTTTTGTCATTACCTTTATCTTTACATTTTCTGCTTTCTAATTTTCTTGCAACTTGCATATAGTTGCAGTAGTTCTTTAGTTATTGTGATCCTGCATGCACAAAATGTAAATATTTCGGTCAGAAAGGGGTTTGGATGCCTATATTTTTCTCTTGTCTTTTCTTATTTATTTATTTATTTATTTTGAAAATGAGGAAGTTGCTCTTTCATATTTGAGTAGTGATAAATATACTACTCTTTTCCTATTATTTTGGCACTACAAGAAACAAAAAGAGTGGGGCTGTGGTGACTCGTTTCTTTTTTAAGGAAGGACCCCACTCTTGTTTCTTGTGATGCCCAAGTAGTAGCAAAATTGTAGTACACTTATCTTTTTCCTTCATATTTTAGGAAGCGGAGAAATTTCTGTAACCTTTTTTTGAAATACAGAATATTATATGATTTGTTGGTTGTTATTCACCCACAATAACGATCAATTGACCTCGTTTGTTTCAAATATTCAGGTGGTGTTACTTTTTGTGTTGGAGTCTAGATGCCATGGAAATGTTTACTACTTATTGGATCCACTCCATCTGTTATGCGTGCATTGTTATAGATTTGGGTCTCAGTTGAGGGGCATATCAAGAATACCAAGACAAGTCCTTTCAATTAATACCTGTAATTAGCTGTTAGCTTTCATAGGATGCTGCACTAAAGTTCGAGAAAGTTAACTGTCATAGGATGCTGTTCAAATAAACCAGTAGTTTGTTGGTAGATCTGTAGTCTCACTGTGAGGCTGGAGATGTATAAGAGAGTTTAATTTCTGCTATGGTCTTTGCCTGAAAGAAAATTATTGGTACGTGAATATATTCTATAGTAACAGTCATGTTTACATGTTAAATCAATTATAGAGTTACATAACCAAGCTAAAAAAAAGGAGGTATTTTGTTATCTCTTTGTTTTCATTTCCATATTTTGTCTAAGGGCCTGTTCGTTTGCCTAAAAAAAAGAGGGAAATCAAAGAAATGGAAAACTATTAAAATGAAGAATTGTTTTTGGAGTGTTTGGTTGGCTAAAAAAGAAGGAAATCAAAGAAATGAAATTGAAATGATGTTAGTTGTCACCTTATTATTGGATGATGTTTGTGATTTTTTAAGAAAACTAGTTTTGGAGTGTTCGGTTGGCGAAAAAAAATAAGGAAATGAATTATAAGAAACCTATTTCCTGTAGTTTCTTGTTTTCTTTTGTTCGGTTCATTCTTAAAAATAAGAAATGAAATGAGATGAGATGAGTTGTCATTGTATTATTGGGTGATGTGAAGAAAGATTAAGAAAAGTGTTTTCATAACTTTTTGGGATGAAAATGAAGAAATGAAATGTTAATGAGATGAGGTGAATTGTTATAATATTTTATTGGATGATGTGAGTGATTTGAAATGATGAGAAGAGATGAGTTGAGTGATGTTTGGATGAAAATAATATTTTATTAGATGTGATGGATGAGTTGTTAGATGAAAATAATATTTTGTTAGATGTGATGGATGAGTGGTTAGATGAAAATCATATTTTATTAGATGATGTGGATGAGTTGTTGGATGAAAATAATATTTTATTGGATGTTGTGGGTGAGTTTTAGGGATGGAAATGGAGGAAATGATGAGTTTTGAGATTTTCACCATTTCCATTTCCATTTCTTGGTTTTTAGAAAACAAACGAACAGGCCCTAAAATCTTTTCAAAATGCATTGCTGCAAAACTTTCTGTAAGCCTGGTCCATACAGTGCAGGAACAAACAATTGTTAGGCCCTGCTGGGATTTTATTGGGGTAGGGGAAGTTAAGGGAAAATAGCCGAGAGAAGATAAAAGAAGCTAAGTTTCCTTTTCCTTCACCCCTATTCGCCTCTTCACCCCTATTCGCCTCAATCTAAACGGGGCCTTAAGAATCTAGTCACCAAAGAAGAAAGGCAAGATCATTCATTTATCTTCATGAGCCTTCCTTTTTTTTTGTCTATTTTATTATACATGCACATACATACACGTATCTGCAAATCTTGTGGGCTTCTCATACCCTATAAATATAAGCCTAGACATGAGGAGGATATAGAGTCTAGTTTGAATATTACATCTTAGAAAAAGGAACGTAGCCATACTCCATCATGAGTATACATGTATCTCCCTCTTGAGTTGATCCCTCATGAGATGTGATTCATAAGAGAACATTCTAAAGTAAAGCCAAATGTCCATGAGTGCATGCCCATTTGGGATGCATCATCGCATACACATTGGAATTGAGCTGAAAGCAATCATATCGTGAAGCAACGAAACCCGCAAGCATCTGAACAACGAATCATCATCCACAAAGGTTTGTGATTGGTTTAGTCCTTATATACATCAGCAAATTCTACTTCTTATTTTGGAGTATTAAAATACTTTTGAGAAAAACTTCATAACTGATGAAAAACCTGAATTCACAAGTTTAGGCGATATGATGGTGATTATTTACAACTTAAGTAACTTTATGACATTATGATATTGACATATAAGCAATAAACGAAAAAGGGTCATCTAATATGTCTTGGGATGAAAATTTTGATGGATAAAATTAAGTCTTTAGTGTGCTTAGGTATGATGATCTTCGCAGATGATAACTGTTAAAACAGGATCGGTACGAAAAGTTTTATAAAATCAATGGTTAAACAAAAACGTGTTTGTTGATCACGTGCAACATAAAAAACAGATCTCTGATCAAAGAATCTAATGATGTTATTAGCTTGTCATTACTGATCAAGAATCTAATTACTTTGTGTCTTTAGCTTGTCATTATAAGTGTGATTTTAGATTCATGAGTGAAATACTCAAAAGTTTCCATTATTACAAGGATAAGCCTTATGAACTCATCATAGAAACAATTCTTGGGATTGGAAGAAACATCTACTGTCTCTCTTTTGCTTTAATTCAAAGTTAAAAAGCACAAAAAGAAGAAAATAAAAATAAATAAATAAATTAATTAATAATAAAAATAAAAACCCTCTATGGTTGCAAATCCGAGTTGGTATTGCCTTGGCTTTGACCAACGACCAGTCCCTGGCTCCAGGGAATTTATGCTTTACAAACCCAAGTTGCATGCTGTTGTGTGTATAAATATATATAAAAAAAATAAAAAGAGAATTTAAAGTACCAACTAAAGAGGAAATCAGTGTACATAGATAAAGGAGAAGATTAAAGAGAAAGGGTAATTATAATGGAAAGATTAAAGAGAAAGGGTAATTATAATGGAGGAGGGAATAGGAAAGCTTAGTGTGGGCCCTCTTTTGGTTTTGGATCTTTGAATGGGGAGTTCTGGCGTGAAAGAATGGCAATGAAAAGCAAAAGAAACTTAATTTAGCACAAGAAACCAAGTTACCCCTCTCTGTTTTTTAGGTAGGAGAGCTTCTTATGTTTTCAAGTATAGGAATTTTGTAATATAGGGGTAAGATCTTATGGAAGGTAAGTGAAGGACACAAAGCAAGTGATTGGTGTTTGTTGGATACTAATCCCCACATCTCTCTGTTCTTTGCTAGCAAACTCTTTCTACTAGACCGTTAGTGTTGTAACTTGTAAGAACCATCAATTTCTAGATCAGTGCAAACCATACTTGACGGTTAATATTGTAAAAGCCGTCAATTCTTAGATCAATGCAAAACATGTAAGGGCTTAATGATGGATGGAAAGGGGAAATGACCCTACATTGAAGCACGCGCATAATATTAGAATATAGAATGATAATTCTCAATCCTTGCGACAACTTTGGATTCTGCTATACAATGGATCTTTTAACATGGTTTTAAAATAATCGAGGATAAACTCCGACAAACCGCACATTTAAAAAGAATTAAAAAAAAGATGATACTGCTCTGGGAATTCGGTCTCATGAAAATAGTGTTCAATCTGTGAAGATACGTTACCATCTAAAATTACCTCTCTCAAACCTTATTAAACCTTCAAAGCTCTGTTATGGTGGGAAGGGACTTTCAACGTAAGAATCCACTGGATGGGTTTTCTTTCTTTATGGGATGGAATTTGGGAGACAAGGAACTAATATAAAGATGCGTAGCTTCCCGAGGATCATGTTCCAAGCATCCATCTTTATTTATTACCTGTCAGAACCTTCTAAAACAGCCTTAAATCTCTATATATCTTCGGCTCTGCATGTATATGATTGAAGTGAATCTATAATCTATGATACTCTATGGATGTTTTTGAGGCCCCTGAGCTTTTCCTTTACCTTTAGCGCTCAAATATAACGATACATCATCCTATTATCCACTCAGAATGTGGCAATTGTGAGGTGGGTAACCGTCAGGGCTTCAAGGGAGAGCAATGGGTGCCTCTCGTACCAATCGTAGGCTGCTAGTTCTTCTACCCCTTTTCATTTCTATAGCTCTTGCTCCATCTAAGGTCTACGGCATTAGAAACTTAGACCAGGATCTAATTAGGAGAAATGTAGCTGAGAAGCCCATCACTGTTAAGGAGACTGATGACACAAGCTTTGATGTGAGGAACGTTTCCGAAGCGCCTTCGCCATCATCGTTTGACCTGAATCGAACGAGCAAGAGAAGAGTTAGAAGAGGTTCTGATCCAATCCATAACAGGTGCTGAAGCGCTTCGAAGGATGAAAACATCTGAAGGGAGCACAATATTGTTCTGTCGCTTTGAAATTGTCGGCTACGGCTATCTTCCTGCTGGGAGAAGTTTCTCGTTGTAGAGAAAATTTGTACAGAGGTTTGAAGGGGGAGTTGATGATGGAGGGACCTTAAAAAAACTTCCCTGTTTTGTTATTTTGAGTCAGAGCAAATGAAGCAGAGAAGTTGATGGTGGAGATTATAATGATGAATCCTGATCCCATATGTTCGTTCTTTTCTGCTAAGGTGGAAAAAAGATTTCTTGTATATGGGATTTATAGAGAGATATTATAGATTTTTTTCCCCTTCATCACCCCCCGCCCCCAATTTTGAAGTTCTTATTATCTCTCTTCTATATGAGTTTCACTGATAGCTTC